CCGTACAGCAGGAACCCCAAGGACTCCACAGTTCAACCCTGAGCTACACATATTCTCTTCTGTTGAATATATTGTATCATTTTAAAAGACTAAAAATCACTATTAAACTCAGAACTAAGCAGGAACAACAAAAACCATGGTCAGTACAGTGGAAGTCACTAAGATTATAAAATATGATAAATTCAATCCATATTACTGAAAGTCTATTCTGATTTAGATATCCTATACGATTAAGGTATAAAGTCTGTGCATGAAAAAACTCAGTTTTTGAATGTGGTTTAAATCCATCTGTTGTCATAGTTTAGGAATTGTTTCTAGTTTGAACTGAAGTCTGTGTTGAATTTACCTTTAAGATATGAAGTTATTCTAGATATGAAAACACACTTCCACAATTTAGTTAGCTATTCTTCCATTGAGAGAGTCAAACGGCCTCAAATTATCAAAGTAGTTCATAACCTTGTACTTGCATCAGGCTGCTTGAATTCCTTATAACAGATACTATTTCAGAAATTGATTTATGTAGACAATGCAAGATATGAATTAGATTTTGTAGACATTTCCATTCATGTTTTAAAATGATTGTTTATACAACAGGGATGTGTGTGTGTGTGTGTGTGTGTAAATAAAATACATGTTCTAAAGAGAAGCCAGAGTATAATAAAGTGTGTGCTCACAAAAAAATGGTTATTAATATACATAAGGAGTGATGTGGGGAAGTTTACAGTTGCATCTGCTATGTGCCCAACACATAGGAGCTAATAATCCCCAATGTCCACTCTTCTGTTTTCATGAAAAGATTACCATTGCCCTATAAAGACTATGTGGTAGCAAGAATTTTCCCATCTCTTATCTGTGCTTTGACAAGAAATCCTACTTTTTCTCTGGCAAATTTAATTATAGGCAAAGTCATATCAACATCAATTTAACACTGATCTACATTTGCTATTAACCAGCATCTTCATTGTGGTCTCTGAATTTCATGGATCATGCAAAGCTTCATTTTAACCACTCAAATTGTTTTTGGTTGTGGAAAGCTCTTGGTTTTATACCCAACTAATTTTTTAGATTCTGCATTAAAAAAAAGTTATTCTATATATCATATGGTATGTTTGATATTGGCATTTCCTCCATGACCCCTAATCTGCTGTCCTTCAGGACAGCCTTTTAAGGCCTGTCTCTTCCAACAGGCTCTGGCCCAGGTTAATTTGTGAACTTGCAGGTATGCTCTGAGTTTTAAATTTTAAATTTTCTTAATATCTAGGTGGTTGTCTATTGTTATACTGTGTTTTTAACCCACTTTGTAGGCCTCCCTGTCAACCTCATTAGATAGACCCGTCAGGAAATCAACTCCATAGCAAGACCAAAATTACTTTTACTGAGATTGGCAATAATAACAGAATCTTGCAAGTCTGATTTCTTCCTCCTTTTTATACTCCAATGAATTGGGGAAACATTTCCCTGAGCCGCTTCCTAATGTTATCTTGTTCTTAAAAAATGCTTCAGCCCTCATTGCCTAGGCATATCCTGCTTATCTCTGTCACTCTCTATACTCTCAGAGTCATGGGATGATTAGTCAGTCTTCGAAATCTAATATAAACATATATCTAAACAAATAAATAAATTGTAAATAGTAGAAGCAAAGAATTACAAGCTGAGAATAACAGGAGAAAAGAGTATTGCCAATCTGCCTTCCTCTGTCATACGTGCATTGACTCTTACTTGAATCATTAGAACTAGTCTATTCATGTCTTTTGGCCATAAATAAAAATTATTGTTATATTAACTGGAACTACTCATTTTATCTTTACAGTAGTATATTTGTTGAATACATATAACATATATAGCATAATATGTACAATATATGTGGCATATAACATATAGACTCACACTACTATCTGGATTATGGATTACAAAGCCTGATTTATAAGAAATTAATGGGTGCATGACCTATCTACCGGTAGGATGTCACACAGAGTGATTTGGGTTCTTGTAAATGTGTATTTTGATGCTATCCAAATACAAGACACTATATTTTTTTAAAAAGAGAAAAAAGGACATAAAGAGAGAATTTGCCTTTAAAATGGTTTAGTTATATTTAGTTAAGATGATTCAGTTATATAGTAACATATTATGACAATAATTATTTATATGTTAATATATTATAATCAACTTTTATTTATCCAAAGCAAGTGGATTAAAAGGGGTTTAATGTGGTTTTTAGTAGGACATGGGTTTGTCTTGCATGTTATACAAAGAAATTTTCCATATGCAAAAATGAATTTATGAAAAATCAAAAGTCCCAAATGTAAACAAAGATTAACACATTGTATGTGTTCATAAATAATACTAAACCAGGATTTTTAATTCTGGTGTGTTGAATAAGCTACAATGACCTGTTTTGGACAGACTGTATTGGCTATGTTTGTACATCATGCTAAGCCAAAAATAATCTTCATAATGCGCACACAATTTAGAATGCAAAATAACAAAAGAATCAATGCCAGAAGAGCTTGTTAGATGGTTTTCAAAGACCTTTTTCAAAGAACTGCAAGATTACTGTTCCAGTGGGGTTTGTGCTTTCCTAACTCATTTGTATATGTGAGAAAGTGAGAGAAGGAGTTTGGGTGACTGGGAGGGATGATCCTCACTAAAATCTCAGCAGTTTGCCTTTCTATGAAATCGGAGGTTTTTTGGATACTTTCTCAAAATTTCAAATGTTCCTGCAAAGCTCAGATGCATTATAAGCTAGCCACATAGCAATATATCACAATTTGGGGTTAATATGTAATATGAAGTATATGAAAAAAAAATTGCATAAACTGAGTTTGAATCCTTTGGTTGACATAAGTTGTTTTGCCATTTTATCATTGTGTGGGGAAACATACCATGTGAATGGTCTGAACTATTATGTCAGTTCTTCTGTGTCTCCCAGGTTTTACTTTTTAAACAATTCCACAGCTATTTAAGTCTACTTGTTTCCATTCTATTTCTTATAATAAATTTAGCAACCAATAATTTTATGCCATATTTTTATTGAATAAATACATAGCCCATCCATTCCAGTTTGCTAAATTTAAGTGAAGTTTTACACAGCTGATTTCTCATTTTTCCTTCTTAAAAGTTTGCAGTTGGACTTTATCACGGTTGATGTGTGATTGTCAGTTAGTGTAGTTATATTCTCTCTTTCCCAATTAAGAAAAAATGGTATTGAATGCATGTGTATCTTAACATGAAGACAGATGCACTTTCCCCTGCCTTGTGTTTAGGCTTAAAGAATGTGATACAAGCTGTAAATTCATATCACTCACACTCAAGAAGTCATTAGTCAGGTTAAGCATGACAACTTTGAACACTGCACACCTTGGTGATGAATTTGGCTTTCCGGTGTTAGTGCTGGTTCTGGAGCCAGGGAGGCCTGACACAGCTGTGATGAAGTGCAAGCAGACTGAGAAGAGTCAGGGTGAGTTGTTTAGGTACAGTAGAAAATTAATATGCTAGCACTTGCAGTTTACAACAACAAAAGGTGATGAGGTTGCGCATAGACTTTTGCAAAGATGGGCAAGAAAATGAAATTCCAGGTTTCTACTGTGATTCATTCAAACAAACCTGCACAGTTTTTGATTGTCTTTTTTTTTTTTTTTTAAAGAAGACTGGTTTGAGAATGGCAATTTAGATTTAGGCAGTCTCTCCCTCAGTGTGGGGGAAGAGAGAGAGAAAGGGAAGTATGCTTGAGCGGGCATGTATTTGAAATTGTTGAAATTGAAAACTGTTAAATGTAACCCATCTGTAATAAGCATGATGCAGCAAAGTACTATTTAAGATCCACTGATTTTGAAAATGAAAATTTTCAAGTATGGCTAGATTGCCATGTATGTCTTTGCCTGCATTTAAATGAGTGTTTCTCGACCTCAGGAACTTTAAGGT